TGCAGAGCCCTCCACCCTGTCACATGGTGAACACTCTACTGAGCATGTGCAGAGCCCTCCACCCTGTCACATGGTGAACACTCTACTGAGCATGTGCAGAGCCCTCCACCCCATCACTCAGCATGACAGACACCTCACCTGGTTGCAGGTATCAGCCAGCGAGTGGATGGCCTCAGAGAACATGCTGGCTGAGCCGGTGTAAACCCAAGCCAGGAGCTTGAAGAAGAAGTTCAGCCCATTGCTAAAAACGAGTGGGGGGGGGGGGAAGCAAACTGTAAGGTTAGAATTCCTGGGGAGTCATGTGATGCCCCCCCCCAAAGCATCCCAGAACAATGCATGGACAGACACAGCGCTCCTGTTACTGACCGTGTGACCACAAATGCCGCTTAACCAAATTACTCTAATCTAATATCCCTTACGGACCACCATGGGACTCGGGTCACGGACACGGCCAGTGAAGGCGGCTTTGCGGCGATCACGCTTTACACGGCCGTTATGTTCCGGCTGGGTGTCAAGAGAGACTGATGGGTTTGATGAATAAATCAATATGCTGGATAAATATCCTTGCTGAAGGCTCACATGCATATGGCCACGGTCACCACCTTCCCTGGTCCTTGCAGGAACGTTGCTCTCTTACCCGATCGAGGCTGTGCGAGACACAGAAAGGGGAGGGGGGCGACGAGAACCACCGGAAAACCAGATTAAGCACTTTAGCTACATTCAGTTTGATTCAATTTTTACATATCGCCTTTCACAAGAGTCTCTGCAATGTGCTTCACATGAGCGTGTTGCAATACATTACAACACACCCACTACTTCTAGATACATCTTGCTAAAGTTGCACTTAAGGCATCCAACACTCTGTGTGAGCCGTTTACCGTGGTATTTAGCACATTGGAAATGTCTCCTCCCACCTGAGCATTTGTAAAAGAGTTTAAGATAACGCAGGCTGCTTACGGCACACGAAAGTTACACAAGGCATTCTTTCAGGCAAGAGGCACTGCAGTAACCAGCAGCAAGTACCACTGCGGAATGCAGTGCTGTTCATGAAATACAGTTTCCGTGTGGAAAACAAGGTCATGTGCCCCAAGGTCAGGCAGGGTCAAGCACAATGGTGAACTAAAGACATCCAGTAAAGGTGAGAGCTGGGACAGGGGGGTTGTGGACATCTTAGGCTGGGGGTGGGGGTAGGTACATAATCAGTCCTCCTGTTTTTTTGTTTCATTGGCACTAAACACCTGCCATGTGACTTCCATCACTGATGGGACACACGATTTTTTCAGTGTTTCCTGAAATGGTTCCCCTAACCTCTCCAGCACCACTACTGACCCACCCAAGCACCCCTGGGTGCAATTAATAAACCGGGGTGTGACCTCGTTTTGACCGATGGTGAACCCCCCCTGAACATGACCGGTTATGTACTCACCTTAGTGTTTCCCCAAAAATCTTTGTACTCTTTCAACAACTGCTGATTCCTAAATGCACCTGCAAGTAAAGCAGAGGTGACACCCAGTAATTTTTTTTAATGCTGATTGCTCAGACTCAACGACAAAGAAAAGGACGTCCCTAACGCTTCAATTAAAAGATCAGAGTTCCAGCTCAACACAAATCTCGCACATCGTCTGTTCACTGTGCAGAAGGCAGGCAAGTACAGTAATAGTAAATCTGACACTTTAGCCCTACGAAACAGGATCACAAACAGGATCACAAAAGCAGGAAGTCACAAAAACACAAAATACTGCAAAGACAAGCTGCCATCCAGCTCCTTCATAAAGCCCGGCTGTGTCAGGTTAATACAAGCTTGATGACATTTGAACCAGACACCTGAATGCTGGTACCAGCTAAGCGGGGGGGTGCATACTCTCTTTGTACTCCTCCTCCACGCGCTTCCGGAGTTTCCTCTCCCTGGAGAGAGCCTCCTGGCTCCCCCAAACGTCCAGAGCCCTGCAGGCCAGAGGAGTAACTCAATGGGCGTAAGTGGAAAATGCGCCAAGTCATTGATGAGATTACCACAGTCACGGAAAGGGCATGAGACACAGATTATGAGGTCAGGCACCACCCACGTTCAGCCAATCACACGTGCAGGCATCGGTAATAGAAGCTGCTTTGTCAAACCTGTGGAGTAGGGTTCACAATGCAGTTCTTTGGTTGAAAAACCAATATTATTTCAGGCTAACCTAACAGAACTTTACTCATTGTCCATTGTAAATGCTAGCCACCAGAATCATGCATCTGCAACAAATGCGCTGACCTACAATACACAATACACATGCTGTCAGATTGATTTATTTTTTTTAGAGGTACGAACTTGGCCTCCACGTCAGAGCGCAGGAACACGGTGAAGGCCTCAGTGTCGTCGTGGGGACTGCGGCGACGGATCTTCCGCAGATGACTGAGGTCGCTGGGGACGCAGAATGAGGAAGGTGGTCAGCGGCTCGGCTAGACAAGCATCAGCACTGAGTGGAGAGAAACCTTCAACATCACATGGAGCCACATAAGGAGCTACAACACAAACCTGCGCATCAGACTATAAATTCCACCCTCTACGGCAGGGTTCTTCAAATCTGGACCTCGATTCCAAATCCAGGCCTTGTTTTCAGTTCTCCCAGGTAGTTAGTTTAATAATTACTGATTCTGATTGGTCAGAGGCTTCACACCTGACTGACAGGTAAAGGAAGGCCAGAAAACCAGCAGTGCTCGGACCTCGAGGACCGTGATTTGAATAACCCTGCTCTATGGAAAAACCTCCCTACAGAAAAATACAACCTTTGAATTGCAAGTCGAGACAATTCTATTCTATTCCATTACATTTGCTCCATTGAACAAATGCGGTCTTTGTAACTAGGGCGGGCCATGTCCGGCCCCCACAGGTCCTGTCTGGCCTTTCGTGGCAGTCAGGATGCTGGTTCAGAGAAGGCAGGGGAGGACAAGTTGGGTGAAGCTAATAGCTAATCTCAGACACGGAGGAAGGTGGGCAGGCAAGTGGGGAAAAAATAGACGCTTCTCAGGACAGGCCAAAATTCAAAGTAAATTGAAAGAATTAAGCAAAACAATAATAAAAGCTGTTTACAAAGGATGCGATACCTGGGCTTGAGGCAGAATTCATTCATGGCCCTGACAGCGGTGATGAAGTTATTCTGCGTGTACTTGGTACCGTACTCCCTCTTCTTCAGCACGGCGCGCACTGGGGACACGAGTGGGAGGCGGCTCAGGGAACATTTTAAAAGCTCAAAATAAACAAAACAGCCCTGGGCTGTTGACAATTTAAAGGACAAAATCTTCCACCATCCTGAGACCACGTGATGCTATTCTTAGACGGAAAAAGATGAATTCTAACAGAGAGAAACGACAGGTGCAGAAAAGACCCAACACAGAGTTCATCAGCAGAGTAAGAAAATCTTTTAAAAGTAAGCCTGATAGTGCTGAGATATTCCAAACACAAATCACACTGTCAGTAGTCATATGAATACTAAATTAATCTAATAAAACACTATCATCTTCCTTGGTAGGAAGGGCATTTAAAAGATTCACATAAGCAATGTGGAATCTCTCAAACATGATTACTACAGGATTACTGTTCCAAAATGGCCTTGCATGGTCACAGCAAATTATGAAGACAACATGAGGGAAAGTCTACTCCCAGCATTACCTCTGACTTGAATAGTGTCCACTTTGCTTTGCACTTTATTCATCGGACCTTGAGCGACAAATAGAAACCACTGGAATTAATAAAGTTCTGTGATAGTGGTGAACATTCCACTGATGAACAATTAGAAAAATGGGGGTCTTTACACACTTACCGGAAGCACCCTCAGCTACAGAGAGACCATTTTGGGGCAAGAACACAAGAGTAGAATATTATTCGATAAATACTGAATTAAGAGTACAGCTCTAGTATTTGAAACATTCATTAAAGGGGACATACACTGGAGACTTGATCAGGTGCATGTAGCACTTAGCTAGTACTGGGTACGAAATTGTTGTACAAGCAGAGGAATAATTACCAGATGGTTTAGGTGAACTTTGCTCCATGTCTGCCTTCCCCCCTGAACTAGCGCCGTCCAGTCCAGAGACGCCATCTTTCCCACTGCCAGAAGTAGAATAGAACTGGACCCGTTCTGACATCAGAGCCACCAGTCGATTGTCAGGGAGGCGGAAGATGTGAGCATGTCCCAGTCCGGCTCCCTGCCACCCTGCAATGGCCAATGGCTACGCTTACTCACTGTGCCCTTAGTGGAGACGCATAGCATTAGCATCGTCAATGTTACTGGTACTACTGCAAAGCCAGGGGCAGTTCCGACAAACATCCCAGCATTAAAACGCTACACAGATAAGATCTGGCATGACATTACAACCCGAGAGCATGGAGATGAGACAAAGGTTCATCTGCAGCCTCTCAGAGGACGGAGCAATGCATGCTGCACTTGGGTCCCTCACCTTGGCATGGCAGCCACACCCTGGGGCACGTTTGTGACAGCGGCGCCCTCGGGTGCAAATAGACCCGGCAGAACAGTGGCCAGGGCCTGCGTGCCAGGCCGGAGATCATCCTGGCAGGGCTAGGAAGACCCGTTTTGGAACCTGATTCAGGAACACAAAATGAAGGAAGTCTATCATCAGCGGGTACTTTTTCAAACTATCATTGCTGCATCTATTTAACAAAAGCAGTCCAATACCCAGGGCTTTCAGTTTCACTCCATTACACTGAATCGCTGCCTTTAACTCAACCAACCTTCAAGAGTTCTACCGCGATTCCCACAGTGAATTAAGCTACCAGCAGATTCAAAGTCTGACATCACTGTGGCCAGTCCTGCGTGGGTCCCTACCCAAGGTTTTAGTTAATTTGTTTTGTTAGATCTTAAGTATCAGTAACCGCGAGTCATATACATTTCGTCAGCGTCTCTGTAGACTTAATACAATCAATTATGTTTAGCCTTATTTTGCTATGACAAAAATAGACTTTAGTCTTTAACAGGTTTTTAAAGCTGTTTTTTGTTGTTTTGTAGAATATAAGTTTTATAGAATTTGTTTATGCATTAAACTGCCCTGAAAATGAATTACTTACTAAAAGAAAAGTATGCATTCGGCTACTATTTTCTCAGAAAAAACATCAGAGAAAAGGGACTCTGAAAAGCCCTGCGTTCAGTGTGCGGCCTGTGTTTATTACACTAACTATGTTATGACTTTATTCCATTATTGCGATAAACACGAGGCAAAGACCAACCGTCGTTAGTTTCAGGCTGTCACCGGGGTCCGGGAGCAGGTGAGCCGTCGTGACCAAATTACCAGCCGGGAATCAGCTAATAACACAGCTGTTACAACAACATTAGACCGCAAAGAGACCGATCGCGGGGTTTGAAGACCATTAAACCGCAAAATGATGATAATGATCGCAGTGACGCTCCTGGCCGGGGAGCTAAACATCGCGGCCAGCAAAGCTCATCAGCCGAATAAATGACCAATACATCCTCTGCGGCCCTGAATTAATACAGAAATAGCTTTAAAATCTCCTATTTCGCCCAGCGGGATAAGGTGCCGAGAGCCACCATACAGCCGCGCTACGGGCGGCTTCCATAAGGCGACCGCCGGTGCTGCCAAGGCGCACACTTGACACTTACCGCGTCTGAAGCCGGGCACCTGGTTAATTTACCTAAAGAGAAATAAGTTACCAGCTAACTAGCAGCAGCCATCGACATCAGGAGAAAAGGCCACCGCAGGGCATTCGCCTAACCACCCTACCTTCAGATAACGTAACATCCCATGTAGTTACCGTCAGCTCGAGCGACAGTTCATTGGCAAGTGACGCTACGACGGTGACAAAGCGAAGGCACACGTTTTTATCAGGTACCTGTCTATATTCAGCACCGCTTTCGTATCTCGGTCGCTCCCATACATACACGCACACCCACACTGGGCATCGTTTCGGAATAAAAACACCGGAGCCGGAGCGCGACGTGATGTCGCGAGATGATGACGATTAACTCGCGCTTGTTTTCCTGAGACATCTTGGCAGCGCTAGAATCCAAGTCCGTACTTTGCAAGTTAATGCCACTACACCAGTTCTGTGTGCCCATATGACCGTTTTTTGATAACAAAAAAAAATTGTTCATGCACACGAGATGCTACAACGAAATAGATAAAATAAAGAAATAAGGAAGTAAAAGGTAATTTAAAAAGAAGTGGCCCGTACGGGGATCGAACCCGCGACCTTGGCGTTATTAGCACCACGCTCTAACCAACTGAGCTAACCGGCCAGACGGATTTATCTGGTTAGTTTTTGTCATTAAATGTAAATTAAGTGTTTAAATACTGTGTTATTTTGTTCTGCTTTGTCTAGGATCAATGTTGTAAAATGTTTGAAATACCATAATATTGTTATTACAATGTTCCTCCTTGAGCATTGGTCAGTGCAAAACAAAAGTTAATATGGATTATAGAAAATGTTTATTAAATAAAAAAATAATAATTCGTTTATTTTAAGCCTGACACCATCAGCAATCTTATCTATAAATCTGGATTTGTCCGGTTGCAAAAGTACTATCAGGCACAGTTTGCATGTCTTGTAACCGATTTACCACAAAGATAGAGGAACATCCATTGAACTGACTGTTTGAGTCTATATAGGAACTACCTCACAGCGTAAATGAAAGTGTTTGCATTGCTGGAACTGAAGTGTGGTCAGTTTTCACAATAAATTTTTACATTACGCAGTTAGGCTAGGTCTTCTGCAGTTCTGACAAAAGGCATATAACGTGATAAACTGTATTCAGTTATTTAAACTTTGGGGCCAAATGGGTAAAACGCCTGGATGACTGAAGAGACCTGCTGCTGTACTCAGAAGAGAGACATTTTCAATCCAAAAACAGCTGTGTTAAAATTTAGCATAAAAAAGCAGAAAAGTTATACTGTCTCCACATCACATAGTGCACCACTCCCTTCCCATAATGCTCTTCTGCTGTTCCCCAGAGGTGATGCTCACAATTTGTTTAAGGTTCTGGCATTCAGTTCTGGGCCCATGGATCAACATTAATGATGGCCGAAAGGACACTTCAGTGACACTCTTTGCGATATTTTTTGAGCCCACTACATGGTGCTCTTGGTTTGTTTTGGACATGCCTTGCGCCCTTTTTAAAACAGAAAGTACCTTCTAGCTGATGGTCACTGTCTCCTGCCTCTCCTTTGGCTCAGAGTCCATGGTGACCTTCAACCCCCCCAGGCCCCTGCCATGAAAAGGCCGACATGGGCAGCCGTGCACAGACTCTGTATGCATGATCTGCTGCTCTGCCAATGTCATCTAACTGCACTTGGAATAAAAAACATCAAAGATGTCAGTTCTCAGAGACTGAGAACGACTTACTGCAAAAAAAAAAAAAACTCCCGGATTGTTTTGAGTCTGCTTTGTAATTCTTTCTCTAGCCACTGGGGGGAAGCAGCTTTTTAGTTTGTGCTTTTTATGGAGAAGAGTGCAAGAGCAGAGACCAGGAGAGTGCAATTTGATATGTGTAATAGTAATGGGGATACTTTGTCTACACAATGTGTAATTACATGAGGACTGAAGAACAAATGGGTTTATGTTCCACCATCCAAGTGTAGCACAAAATGGGCTGCATCTCCTTTGGGAGCGACATGGAGAAGGGCTGCACTGCATTCACCAGCTAAGGCCAACTGTCAGCATCTTCCGTCTGGCCAGCTGAAAGAACACTCCATGCAGATTGGTGATCCTGTCCCCCATTTTGTGTCTTCCTGCAGCAAAAAAAATCTCTGTCATGCTTTTCTCCATAATGGTTCGTTTGTAGCGCTGTTGTGATTTTATGTATATGGGCAATGTCAATGTGCAGAGTGAGGGTTTGTTGTCATAATCAACAATGTTGTGTCTATACAGTTAGTTCAAATATATTCTTTTAGTCAGGCAGAATTAGGCATGTAGCTCATAACTCTTTGTGCAGGCCTCTGTTTCTGGGTGCAGAAGGTTGCTGGTTTGAATCCTATGCTCAACTGAATAGTTCTATGTTCAGTGGGCCCTTGAAATGTTTCTGGGGTACTAGATAAATGGATGACCCTGGGCTCTGACCCCAACCTTTATTTGTGTGTGTGTATGTGTGTGTGTGTGTGTGTGTGTGTGTGTGAATAAAGAATTCCAATGTATTTGCAAATAAAATTTCATTAAAAAAATATTTTTGCCATCTGCACTCCCAGGACTCAGATTAGGGCTGGGGGCCGCACTACATAATTAAAAAGTTCTATATTCCCTCTTAATTGTCACCCTAAAAATTAAACACATTTCAAATCATTAGTTCCATGCAGAATTCTTTTGCTGTACCGTGCATGTAAATTTACCATTACATCCTTCCAAAAGCTCTACACTAGAGATCTACAGTTACTGTGATGTAGATGATGTAGATGGCACTTATTACAGAGTCAAAGTTCATCAACACATTTCAAATAAGAAAAGGGGGAAGTCAAGAGTGTTTCTGTGGTTTTGTGCATTGACACTTTTCAGACAGCAACTGGATGACACTCTTGAGATATAAGCTAAAGTAAATTTCAATAAGGCCCAAGTGAATGCGAGGAGAATCTAAAGGGAGAGGGTCATCCCTGCCCTGCATGGCTGCACTGGAGCCCCCAGTGAAAAACTACGCCTGCCAGAACCCAGAGGAAAGAGGACTTCCCAAACACTATCTACAAAAACACACTGGCACATTATACACTACTCTGCATTTCTGTTTGGTATTATGTGCTGGTGAGAAGGTGCACATCCATTGCAATTAAAAGAACATAAGAACTATACAAACGAGAGGAGGCCATTCGGCCCAGCAGAGTCAATGTTATATACAAGTTTCCTGTGCTATACTTTTGAATTTGTCATCACTGTAATTCCTATTTACCTTCTCTGTTCCCATGTGGGAGAGAAATCTAATTGAGGGGATTTCCAAAGGGACATGTGGGAGAAAGTTTTGTTATGAACCAGCACCATAATCAACAAAGCAGCCATTGCCAGTCTGCAGTGGGACGGCGAGGCCATACTGGAGGGCTTCCCAGAATGGTAAACGCTCTCAGCCCCCAAACGGTGACTCACTCAGGAAAATACTCACGGCTGCTGATGCCCAGACCTACTCCTAAGTACAACCCAGAGAGCAGTAGGCTATGGCACGTAGATTTCAATGCCCACATTGCTTGCAGCTCACATTTGATATTAACTGTAGCATCACCTCTGCTGATGACTAATTCTGCAGAAGTGCGATGGAAAGAAAAATCTCTTTGCAGTCTGATTTTTTCTTATTCTGCTTTGGCAATCTTGTGGATAACTAGTTTTATACACTCAATGCGCATTCATAAGCTGTAATTTTAAATGCAACCAAGGGAGTAGTTAGAGATGAATGGATAGGGGGGTTGAGTCTTAACTGTGGTGGGAAATATATAGTGTACATAGTATAAAAAGCTATTTATGACTTAAGCCAATAAATGCAGATTTATTTGGGAGGGGGGGCTAAACATTTTGGGGCGTTAAAGGCCTCCTAAAATAGGCCCAACGACGCCCCTGAATGCAACACAATTTGTATTCGAAAAGTAAGCCAAAGTCGATGAGGTAATCGAAGACCTTACCATTAATCTCGCTTTCACGAGGCATGCTTGGGCGCCACCAAGTGGCGATTAGGATGTCTGGTTTTTCTGTATTTCTTCCCCATAACCTGCATGGTTGGTTCAGTAGACCTCACCTAACGTGGCTTGTCCTCCCTAAAAAAATAGGATTTTTGCTATAGAGATAAGCAATTTAATTTCTTAAGTTTCTCAGACGTGACGTTTGCATAACAGGTGAGCACCTTATCCGATATCCCATCTTGCGCCGTTAAGCTCCGAAACCAGAGCCCTTGTCACGCCTTACTGAGGGATGCATGCTGCATAGGTGGGGTTCCTACGCGCGTAGTATTAATTTCTTGTCTTCAATAACAAAAACCGTCAAAATGTATTTCGTAAGTGTATTTCACAAAAATATGAATGAAGTGCGCGCGTAGAGATAGGAGTGTCGTGCATTGATTATTTTTTTATGGTTACACGTGAGGACATCCATCAGTCATCCCATTCAGAACTCTGTATCCATACCTTCCAGAGCTTGTCTTTGCTAATAAACCGTGTCAGGGTGCGTTTTGTTGTGCTTAATTAGCTATATTGCACGACTTCCATTATTTATTCTTTTATTCTATTATTTGTATACTTAGCTATTTTTGTTAATTTGTGACATTATACTTTCAGTCATCTCTCTGATCGGGAAAGAAATTGTTATTAATTATTATTATTGTGATTTCTATAAAGTGCTTTGCATAGATGTGTCTGCTAATCAAATAACAATATTTGATTATCAACAACAATAACTAACAATAAAATACAACAATTATATTATGTAGCCTGGACGGGATGGAAAGGCTATTTAGAGTGATACGGAATTCATAACTTATTAACGTTTGTTTTTTTTTCATTTTCCACTTAACATTTTTGAGCTGCAATAAACCACCGATAACAGAGACCGCAGTTACCAAATCAACGTATATGGCGGCGCTTGCTACCCAACAGAAATGTTATCAATCTATCAATCTATCTATCTATCTATCTATCTATCTATCTATCTACTGTATCTATCTATCTATCTATCTATCTATCTATCTATCTAATAAACTAAACTACTACTAGCAAACATCATTTTTCAACACATTACAACAAACGACAGCAACAAAAATATCAATTTGAACAAGAATAAGCTTTAATAAGAATAAGGTAATGATGTTCCCCCACTTTCACAGGCGACTGCAAATAAATGCCCCACAGAATATCGGAGCTAAGACATCTACGTTATTTATTCTGTCCAACCGGCGTAAATCAGGAAATTCTGATGGGGCCAATGAAATAAACGTGATTGGCAGATTCCCATGTCACAGAATAAAGCTGACCAATTGGGTGGGTAGAGCAGAAATTTGGGTAGGCATCGCCCACCCTTGCCCACTAATAG